TATTTTATATTTAAATTATACTTTTACATGAAAATCTAACATCTAATAATTTAAAGAGAATTAAAAAATTAAAATGTTTGTAAAAAAATTTATAAATTCAAACATGTACTGATTTTTTATTATTATATATTTTGTTGTTGTTATTATTGTTATTATTTAATATTAATATTTTTTTTCAAAAAGAATACACAACAAATTATTTTCTAAGTGTATTTAGATTAAATGAATCTATTAGATTAAGTGAATCTAAATCTAAGAGTTAAATTAAAAAATAAAAATTTATTAAATTAAGTGAATCTAAAAGGAAAATAAAAATGTTATTAAAAAAAAAACAATGTCAAAGAGACACACACACAAAAAATAAAAAAATAAAATCATGAAAATCAAAAAATTCAAAATAAAAGTTTGAAAAAACAATTCGATCCAAACCAAACACTATAAACTTCTATTTTTTAAAATATTTTTTTCACTAATCTCTAATTTTACACAAATTATTCACAAATCCCTTTCAATTTTTATGTGAATTTGATAATCTAATTAAAAAATGGTGCATACACACAAAAATGTAACGCTAAACATATATATATTATGACCAACTATTTAATTATGAATAATTAACTTTTCATTATTACTTGTATTATATTGTTACAAAAGATTTCACATATTACTTTTGTGAAATCTTATATATGTCAATGTCTACATATATATAAATATAAAAAAATATATATAAATTTAAATTTATATATGTTACTATATTCATACATTGTGAATCTGTAATGTTATATTATCATCGGATTCTTTAATTTTCTAACATGTATCGCTTTAATAATATAGGTATATTTGTTAGCAAAAAAACTATGGAATTGTGTAATGTTCTTCTATCAATTTATATTCAATACATATATATATATATATATATACATATCATACAAACAAGTGTCCACAGCAAACACTTTCAATAACAAACTAAGATTTTGCAAAACACTTCCATCACGACAATAATTATATATTTTTTTTCCCACACAGAAAAAATACATTATTGAGGGAAAATAGATTTTGAGATTTATAACAATATAATATCATCTCAAACTCTTACTCATCAAAATATTTTTATTACGATGAGTTATAATGGTGAGTAAGAAGAAAAATAAGAAGACGTGAAACAAAAATTATAGAAGATCTATTGCAACACGCTCTCCAAGCAAAGTTAAACGAGCTGATGTAGAAATTGTTCTATTTGATGTGAAATTCAATAAAAACAATGTACGTCATACATACATTTCAAAATTAAATGATGCCCAAACATTATTACAGTAACTCAATGATGCAGAAAATAAGTACATCAAATTTCGATCAATTTTTTCTATATGCTGGTTACTTACAAATGCCATAATAAATTATGCAACTTGACAGTTTCATGAAAGTGACCTTATAAATACTTATAAATATGGATTTGTAAATATCGTAAAAACAATTATGAAATTCCTATATAGATCGAAATATTAAGTTATAATATCATTCTATTTTTTTAAAAAAATTATTCCACATTTTCTACATAAATGAAAATATACTAATGACTAATTTATATTTTTCATCATGCAAGATATTCACGGCATAAGAAACGAGACTCAATAACTCTTGATATATAAAAATATATTACATATTGATATTAATGCATTCTTACACCAATAGTATGCAAATAATAGGAGTGTTCAGCGGATATTCTGATCTGCCTAAACCGAGCGAATTGAACCAATTCGCCTCATTTTGAACGAATGCGTGATGACGAGCAGACGGTTACAGATTGATTTTTTCCAATCCGCCTAGTGTTGTACAGATGGCAGATTTAAGGTTCCTTGGGTCGCAACCGAACCGCCAAACCGCAAGCACTCCTAGTAATTTGTAAGACTTTGTGTTTTCAATTTGTTTAGCAATTCTGTTTGTGTCTTCAATTGAAAAAGAGTTTAGATATTCTGTTGTATTTTCAATTTGGAAATCTTTTTATCAAATGACAAGTGTTTATCAAATGAAATAGTTTTGATAATGCATGGTTTTCTTATATGTATTTATTATTGATATTTAACAATTTACTTGATAATTTTTTGATTATATTGAGTTGGATTGTTATCAAAAAAACAAATGTTGACAAGTTGTTATATTAAACTGATTCGCATCCATCCGTTAACACTAAAAAACTCATCCATAGTAACATACTAAAAAACTCCTTCAACGTAATATACTAAAAAATTCCTTAGCGTACTTTTTTCAAACGTAACACTCTAATACTAAAAGACTTCTTAGTATATTTTTTTCCAAACATAATACTCTAAAAACGTAATACACTAAAAAATTTCTTAATGTATTTTTTTCAAACATAACACTTCAACACTAAAATAACTCATTAGTGTACATTTTCTAAACGTAACACTCCAATAATGTAACACTTCAATGCAAACGTAACACACTAAAAAAACTCCTTAGTATACTTTTCTTAAACGTAACACTCCGATGTAACTTTTCAAATGTAATACTTTAATGCAGTGGGCAAATGCATCATTACACATCCAAAAAGAATAAATGAATCACAAGAAAAAATATAGGACTATATGCATCACAAGTATAAAATATAATTGGGGAGGAATATTTCATTAAATTTTCCTAAAGTCAAAGTAAAAAATGGATTTGCCAGAGGATAATATTCTTCTAGCATTAAGATTGAGCTATCATTATCTCCCTACACATTTAAAGAGATGTTTTGCTTGTTGTTCCATATTTCCCAAAGATTATGAATTTAAAATGGAGGAATTAGTTCTATTATGGATTGCAGAAGGTTTTATAAAGCCAAGAAGTAACACAACAATGGAAGAAGTAAGTTATGAATGCTTCAATGAATTGCTGTCAACGTCATTATTTCAGCAAAAGGCTAGAGAATCTCATTTTGTCATGCATGATCTTGTTAATGATTTAGCTTAGTGTGTGTCTGGAGAATTTTGCTTGAGGTTAGAGGATGACAAGCCAAATAATATTGGTGAAAAGGTACACCATTTCTCATATGATAGAGGCAAATTTGATGACTTTCAAAGATTCAAGGTAATCACCGATGCTAGGCTTTTTAAGGACGTTCATACCTTTATGACGTAGACATATTCACCACTGGTTGGCTAATATGGTTTTGGATGATATTTTGTCGAGACAAATTTGCTTAAGGGTGTTGTCTTTGCGATATTATGAAATTTTCGAATTGCCTCACTCAATTGGCAATTTGATAACATCTATGCTATTTAGATCTCTCTGACACGCAAATCCAACAATTGCCAGATTCTGTTTGTAACATGTATAATTTACGAACATTGCTGCTAATAGATTGCTACAATCTTACTACCTTGCCAACAGAGATTGGAAAATTAATTTTCTTGCGTCATCTTGATATCAGTGGAGCGAATAAGTTAAGGGAGATGCCAGTGCAAATGAGTCGATTAAAAGATCTCCAAACATTATCTGCTTTTGTTGTGGGAAAATGTAGCGGGTCAGGTATTAATGAGTTGAAGGAGTTTCATCATCTTCGTGGAAGGCTTTCCATTTCATGTTTGCAAAATATAAAAAGTCGCACGGATGCAATGGAAGCAAAGCTGAAGGAGAAAAAGTTCCAGGAAACATTGGTGCTGAGCTGGGATAGTGGAATTACTAATGATTCAGCAAGTAAAAGAGATGTACTTGACAAACTATAACCTCATACAAGCTTGAAACACCTTGAGATAAATAGGTACCGAGGCACAAGATTTTCGCAATGGTTGGGAGATCAACCATTCTGTAACATGGTGTCTTTACATCTGTAGGATTGTGAGTACTGTTTTTTCTTGCTGTCTCTTGGTCAATTGCTCTCCTGAAACATCTTACCATTTCAGGAATGCAGAGAATAACAAAGGTGGGCCATGAATTTACAGAGATTGTGCTTTAAGCAAACCATTTCAATCTCTGGAGACTCTTATTTTTTTTTCCGAAATGTTGGATTGGGTGGAATGGTATATATTAGATGATGGATAGTTCTCTTGGCTTCAAGAGCTTCACGTAACCAACTGTCTGAAGCTGATTGGAGGCTTACCCAAACACGTTCCATCTTGGGTAAGAGTTGTGATTAGGGACTGCCCAGGGCTTATAGCTTCACTTCCAAGGACATGTGCTGGAAATGAATTAGTATTGCGTGGATGCAATAGTGTAGAATTGAGATGGCAATGTTTGTCTTCTCTCGTAAATTTGGAGATTTCGTCTGCAAGTTTGAAGGAATTAACAGTCGAACTATGTACCTTAACTATGTACCTTAACAAATTTGAAGGCTTTGAAGATAGAGCGATGTCCATACCTATTGTTATTTCCAAACACAAGGTTGCCGCCCATGCTCACGCTCCTTACAATCATTGTTTGTAGGGCTATACGTTGTTTGCCGGAGAGAGTGACGTGTCTCAACAATTGCCTTCAACGTTTGGAAGTTGAGGACTGTCCGAAACTAGTTTTCCACTATCTGAGGAGATGGAGAACTGCTACACAATATTTGTCCTTGGAAACCTGTGATTTTGACTGTAGAAATTTTGACTCTTTCAACTCTAAACAGGCTTGGGTTCCAAAGCTTCGATATCTAAACATCAAAGACTGTAGAAATTTTGACTCTTTCAACTCTAAACAGGCTTGGGTTCCAAAATTTCGCATCACTTGAATGGCTTTCCTTGGATGGGTGCTCTAATATGGAATCTTTTTTGCAACAAGTGTTAATGGCTCCCAATCTGAAAACATTTTCGGTGGGTTTGGTTTGTGTTTTGAGATAAAATTTTTTTTAAAAAAATTGGGAAGTTAGTTTAAATTTTATTTTTTGATTTGTTTAGTTGTATATTTTGAAAATAGTTTTGAATTTTAGAATGATTTGATATTATGTTGTAATTGAGTAGATGTGTGCAGAAGAAAAAATGATTAAGAAGAAAAAAGGAAAGAGAAAAGTGATTGATTGATATACAAGAGAGAAAAAGTGATTTTAATTTTTTTTTTTTTCAAAAAATTTAAACCAAATAAAATTTTAAAAATTTTTCTCAAAAATTATATTGTAAGATACAAACCAAACAAATCCTTTTATCTCTGGAGCTGCAAGAAACTCAAGTCGTTGCCCGATCGAATGCGTAGCCTCACATCTCTTCAATCATTGGACATATATCACTGCCCAGGAATTGGGTCATTTCCAGAAGGGGGTCTGCCCTGTAGCTTAAATCGTCTTGGAATTGGGAATTGTGCGAAACTTGTGGCTCACAGAGAGAGTGGGGTTTGCAAAGACTCCCTTCTCTTACACACTTTATAATCTTGGATGAAAATGAAGAAGATGTTCTAGAGTCCTTTCCGGAGGAGGGTCTGCTGCCCTCAACTCTCATAACGCTCTGAATTGAAGATCTACCAAATCTCAAATCGCTGAACAACAGGGGCCTTCAACTTCTTTGATCCCTCCAAAACATGGGGATTGGAAGGTGCCCTCAACTGCAATCCTTGCCTGAAGAAGGGCTTCCAACCTCCCTCGTTGTGTTGGAAATCTTGGAGTGTCCATTGCTAAAACCTCGTTGCTTAAGGGAGGAAGGACAGGACTGGCATAAGATTGCTCGCATCCCCCTTCTGCATACGGATTCTGAACTCAGCTTTGATCGACTCACTCTCGGTTCAACACAATCTTACAGTCTTTTTCTTCATTATGCTTTTCAGTAGTCACAAATATTCTCAACTTTACAGTCAGGTATTTGTTCAAGCCCTACAAAATATTTTCAACAATTAAATAATAAAAAAATGTTATATATAATTCTATTTGTTATGGGTCCGTTTGGGAAAGATCAATTGGGATAAAATAGTCATATAAGACAAAATATGCTATTTTAGTTGAATAAGATAAAATATCACATCTAATTCATATTCATTTCATTTTTCCTCTCACAAAAGTTAAAAAAGTCAAAAAATTTATTCCAACCGAGACTTTTTAACCCCAAATTAAAATAGCCAAAAAATCAACCCATATCCCAAACAAAGGCTATGTTTCTTTTTTTTCCCCACTCCTAAACACTAGGAAAATGGGTGTCGTGCATTTATTAATGTGAGTTCACTTTGTTTGGTTTTACAATTTTCAAAAATAAATTTTGACTTTTCAATTAGTATTGTCACTGATAGTTTAGGGGTAGAAAGTCACTGAACTATCATCAAATTGTCTAATTTCACTTAAAATTATAAAATTTATGGAAAAAATCACTAAATAATAAATACAAAAAATTCTACATTTTCGAATTTTTTTGTATTTATTGAATTTTTTAAAAAGTTCTTCTTATTTTTTAATTTTTTTTTAAAAATATATCTAGATTATATGCATCTAACAAAAATTAACCAAAATATTTTTTAAAAATCACTAAATATAAAAAAATACAAATTGTAAACTCAAAACCAAATAGAGGAATTAAATTTGTCTAGGAGTGAAATGAGATTACGTATATCATTGTTCATAAATAATTAAGAGTAAATTACACTTACCATCCTTGAAGTTTGGAAAAAATACATTTAACTCCACACATTTTTGAAATAATTACCCTTGCCTCCCTTGAAGTTTTAATTCACATAAAAATTAGACTATTTTTCATCGATAATTTGTTAGTTTTATGAATTAAAAATGATGTCATATTTTTTTCAACTAATATATATATATATATGTATATATTTATATTTATTTATTTCAATTTATATCCACCATTTGTATTATTTTCAGTTATTTTAACCTTACTAAAAGAGAAGTCAATCTAATTATGTGAGAAGTGTTGGATTAATTATATTTTTATCAAAGGTGAGTGTAATTTGCCCAATAATTAACCTATACCAATAATTCATTCAATTTCATTCACCTTTATTTATTAATAATTTTCACTCTACCGCTTCTCTCTCTCTCTCTTTGCTTAATAGGAAAAAAAGGTCAAATGTTGGAATATTTCGTGTATCAATAACAAGGCTAATGTCTCCTCCTCGCTCAATCAGGTGCACGCTTGTGCTTTCATTTCATATATGCTCTTTGTTTATTAGATAAATTATAAATATATCATTTGAGATTTGTTTAAAATATTAATTGTTTCTTGCGATTTTAGAAATTACGTAACGTCACTTCAAATTTTTAATCGCATAGCAAATGACCTCTTTTATTAGTCAACAATTACGTCACTTAACAGTTTTAAATGATGTTAGAAATATATTTCAATTAACAGTTGTGGTAATTTTATTGTTGTATAGGAGAGTAGTTAGGAATTTCATTTTTTTTTATTAATTTTGTTAAATAACAAATTAGTGGTGCAACTTGGGCAAGTTCGGTCGGGTTGGGAGGTTGTCCAAGCCCAGCCCAAGTTGTGCTGAGATCTGTCTAGGCCCACCCAAGCCTGAATTGTAATCCGAGATTTCCTGCCCAAGTCCAACCCGAATTGCCCGAATTGTGTATATATATATATATATATTTTTGCAGCTACATTATTAAATTATTAAAATTTGACTTTATTTACATTTTATTTATTTATTATATATATAGAATCATTAATACCATTAAAACAAATAATTTATATAATGTATAGAGAGATGCCGTTATAGTAGTCTTTATAATTTATGAGTAAAAATTAAAAAAAAAAAGTAAGATTTTATGTTATTTGTATATATAATATATATTCAATATGATTTAATAATCTAAATTACTTTAATATCATGTAATGACTAATAATATATATATATATATTTAATATTTTTATATATCTATATATGTATAATTCGGGTTTCGGATTGCTCGGGCTGTTTGATGTCTTTGCCCAAGTCTGTCCAAATTTAATTTGGGTTTCTGAATTTTGCCTAAGCCCGTACCGAATTTGAAAATATCTTGTCCAAGGCCTAAAAAAGTTCGGTCTGGGTTCGGATTGCTCGGGTTGAGCCCACCCAAGTTGCACTCCTCTGACAAATTCTAATAATGGGAAATTTGTAATTTCCAGAACAACAGGGGCAAGTTCGTTCTTTAGTAAACTTGAGGGAGTGCATTTGTAATTTATTCTAATTTATATGTTGAATAAATTTATTTATTTATTTTTTACATCCAAAAAATCACTCTTAAATTTATCCACATGTGATAGGAGGTTAGATCTTAGTTGACTGATTTCTCAGATTGTGTTTGTATGAGGGATTTACTGAGGGAAATGAAATATGAAGGGAAAAGTGAATATGCAATAGAAGCTAATTTTTTAGTCATATCTCCTTTTTTTTCCAAATCCCTCCTCAAATCATTAATCAAAACAGAGCTTAAATAAATCAACAACTTACAATAAAAATCCACGTCATTTAGAATAAACTTAGTAGTGATGTTTTAGGGGGTGTTAAACATTTTCTTTATTTATTTTGTCTACATTTGTTATAAGGCTGGTTAGATCTTGAAAGTTATGTTGCATACACTATTCTAAATTGGTAAAATACTACTTAGGATGGCGTATGAATATGTCCTTGGACAAGCATACAATAATCAAGGTTTTGTTTGTGTTAACATAAAATATTTTACATCGGAATATATTTTTCTTGTAAATTGATTTTGCACAACCATATATATTTATATTTCTTTTTATTTTCTGTGAAACAAAAAAATGTCCTAAGGTAATATTAACAAAACAAACACCCCCAGTACATATCAGCCCAAAATAAACAGGAAACAGCTCCTCTAGACATTCAACAACTACAAAGCTGTTGGAAGAAAATTACTGTTTGTGTGCTACTGTAATGTGTAAAACAGAATTAAAACAAATCAGAACACAACTGTGTTTTTATAAACCAGAAACCAAAACACAGAAACTGTTTGAAGCAGAAAACTGAAAACCAAAATCTATACTAGAAAGAAAAACACAGAAACAGAAACAGAAACAGAAACAGGAAAATCTTACAGTTTGTATGAATGCAGAAAATCAGGTTGATCAAAGCTTAGTGTTTAACACTATGTACAGAATTTCGTTCCTCGCATCGGTTCTTATGAACTTCTTGGGCGCATCAACATGGCATGCAATATGTTACCGGTTGTAACTGAAGATTTCTGTTGCAAGTAGAAGAAAGGATGTTCTGTTGCAGTATAAGTTTCCTTTTTGTGACATATAGTTTGATTGCAAGCAGCCTCTCCCAGTAATAAAAAAGATTGTGAGTGGTTTCTGATCACTATTATAAGCTTGCATGTAAAATTCATGGAGGGTACTGTAAAATTTTCCCTAGTATTATACTTTTTAGATGAGCACATTGGCATGTGTAAATTCTAAGTTGTGCAGCTTTGTGGATTGTGTTCTTGTTGTATCGAATTGCTATTCAGATTTTCCTCATGACTATATATATCTTGATGTCTCCTACCAGCAATTGTTTCGATTACAGGAAAATTAGATATTATATTATAAGCTTTTCCCTTTTCTCTCTTTCAAATTTGGGCAGTTTATTATTGCAGTTGGTGCTAATTGTGCTGGTTGCCTGTAAAAATGTTCTTGCAATATTGAAATACTCTCCTTTTTGTTTTTCATTTTTTGGAACTCGTGGCTTGTCTAGATTTTTGCTAACTGAAATTCTATTATAGGTTCCTATTACAAGTTAGATTTTTGCTTCATTGTTGCACCAAAACAAATTTGTTTATTTTCACTTGGCAATATTGCTTTCATGAATCTAGAACTTGTTATGCTCAAGAAAATATGATGATTATTGTCATGATTAAGTAATCAACTTCTGATGGTTTGTATAGTGCTTGTTTATGCCTGTAAGTTGAATTATTCATCAAAGTCATGTGGTTGAATGCATTTATTTATTTATTTAAAGTTTTTTGTGTGTTTTCTGTATTAGTGCATTTCTGATAGAGTTTAACAAAGAGATGATGTATTGCTCAATTAATCAATATACAACTGTTTTGGCTTTATATGGCAAGAGACACCTTTAACCATAGTTCTAACTAACTCTAAACCATAGCTAACTACCTCTAGTTATCCTAACTACTTAACCAAATCAGTTACAACAGATGAGGCCACTTATGGCTTGATTGAGTGTGACTGAGGCCATGGTTGTGGCTGCGGCTGCGGCTGCAGCTCATGTATCTCATTGTAAAGTATTGCCTTGTATAAAGGTGTTTTTTTGCATTGTAAAAGTTAGTCTTCTAAACAGCATAATAAAAACATTGCATGTGAAAATTTTGCAAGGCCTTTGGCTTCTTCGATGAACCTGAAGTGAAAAAAAACTATTTATGAAAAAGGTAGGTTTGAAGTTAGAAAATGCAAAACAATAATCTCTTTTATTTTTCAGAGTTGATAAAATCTTTTAATCCAAGTTGATTTAACAAATTGTTTAATGATAAAAAGGTTAGGATTAGGTTGCCTTCAACCTAAACAAACCAAGTTGAATTGAGTTTTGAAAGGCTCGAACTTGACTCCTTTGTTTATCAAGTTCAAAAATTCAACTTGAGTTTGGCTTGACCCGTTAATATTGATCAAACTTGAGTTCTAACTCGAAACTTGATAATAAATTTTTTTATTTATATAATCTATACACATGGTTACATTATTTAATATATGAATAGTATATTTAATTATTGAAATAAATTATAAACAACAAGCAAAAACTTGTTCGAGCTCAAATTTGAATTATTTATTAGATAAACTTAAAAAAAATTAACTAGAACTCATTTATTGAACTAGGCTAAAACTTGGAAACAACTCGATTTATTTGTAATCCTACTCTGACCTGAGAGATCGACTTAGGACCTTGTTTGTACGTTGGAGTAGAGAGGTTCAAAATCATTCATTAGGTCTCCAAATGTGTCACCCATTCACTTCCTAGATAGAGGTATAAAATCGACCCACCATCCTGCGGCCCACTTGAGCTTGCCTGGCTAGGCCCGCCCAAGCCTGAGTCCAAGCCCAATCTGTGACCTTGGATTTGGGGATTGGGCTGTGTATGTGGAAAAAAATTAAATTTTGATGGAAAAAAAATAAAAAAATGATTAGGTCCAGCCTAAGCCCGCTCCCAAGCTCAAGCATGGATTTAAGCCCGCTCGAGTACCCCTGGGCTTGGGCCTTGGCTACAATTTTATGCGAGTGGACTGACCTGGCCTGACCTAAATTTTGGCAAGAGCCTGCATAGCCGACAGTGGGCCGGTCCAATCCCGAGTCGGGCCAAATTTACACCCTTATATAAAGTCCACTATCCATATCTATATTATTATGTTTTTATTTTTAGGGAAATTCTAATATACACAACCTTCAAAGAGGTGCACCATATGCACCCTTACGTATGTTGTTCTTTTTTTTAGTTATGATCAATTTTCTTATTTAGTTATGATTCATGAATTTTTTAATTATGTCTTATGTTATGTTTAATTATCATATTTTTTTAGTTATAACTCATAAAATATGAAAATATATCATTGTCTGCTTTAATTATAAGAGACATATGGTAGACACATTTTCAAGCCAGTGAACATAGTGTTTCTTTTTTCTTTTATTTTTATTTTAAGGTAAATTACAAACACATTCCCTGAGGTTTGCTTAAAATACAGATTGCCCTCTGTGGTTTAAAAAATTACAAATACCCCCTTACTAGAATTTTTTATTTAACAGAATTAACTAAAAAAATGAAATTCATAATTGTTCTTTTATACAATAATAAAACTATTTAAATTATTAATTGAAACAAATTTTTAATATCATTAAAAACTGTTAATTGACTTGATAATTTATTAATAAAAGGGGCGATTTGTTATGAAATTAAAAATTTCAAGGGTTGAAATGTAATTTTTTAAAACTATAGGAGGCAATTCGTATTTTAATCAAACCTTAGGATGTATTTGTAATTTACCCTTATTTTTAATGTGATTGGACAAAATATAGATTTGGAAGGAGAGCCTTTTTGTTTCCCTCTTCCTCTTCTCAAATCATCGGATCCAAACGGGTTGCTTCAATCTGGTATTTCTTCAAAGTTGAGTAAAAGGAAGAAAAAGAAAAAAATGGAGATGAGACAGAGCCAAGACATCAGTATTGGCCAAGACCTAACACGCTTCCCTCGCTTTCTCTCTCTCCGCCGCTTCGAGCTCCTCAACCTCATTTCCCGCCAAAACGACCAGTTTGATGAGCAATCGCGATAAATTGGTGTCTTCCCTGAACGAAGAAGACAACGGCGTCGTTTTGGCGAGGATTAGGGATGGCGAGAAGGATGCGAGACGGCTTGGCTTTGGAATGCTCTGTAGCAGCAGTAATGGAATTGAAATGATGGAAAATGGTGATTGTCAAAAATGTACAGAAGGTAAATTCATTGTTAATATTTTGTCGAAAAAAGAGGAATGAATGAACTTGTCTTTCAAATTCAGTATAGTTCAGTTTTTGTGTTAATTATTATGATGCACTGGGTACTAAGGAATATCATATGGTCCCAGAATAATTGTTGCAAGTTTCAAGCCCATTAACAAGGGTGAGGAGGTATCTGCAGTTGCTTACACTGATTTGTTTCAACCTAAGGTATTTTGGTCTTCTCCCTACTAAATTTTATACAAATGTGTAATAATTATTATTATTATTTTCTTTCGGTGGAATATGTTGATCTTTTGAAGTTTTAACTAAATGCATAATTAGATGGTCACAAATTTTGGATTCAGGTATTATTCACTTCAATGTAGTTTGTATTGTAACTTGGGATTGGGAAAAATTGTAAGACTTCTGTTGGCCTTTTTGGCTTTCAAAGGTTATTTTGTAATTGTTAGCGTGCTAGCAAGGATCAATCAGTCTTTACAGAATGTTAATTGCCAACTAATTATCAGACGATTGTGTTTTAATTTTTTCAACCTCAATGAAGAGGACTTTTACTGGTGGCTTTGTTTAGGAGAATTAAGCAAACAATGATTGAACGAAGAACAATTGCAGTTTTTCATTAAGTAAAACGTAAGACTTACAATGATCCAATTCAGCCTCGTAGAGATTTAGAGCAACAATCTACTTGAAACTACTCCTATGAACGAAATGCAGTGCAAAAATTTGAAGTACAGAAATGTAAAGAACAAGAAATGTAAAACTGAAAAAAAAAATAAAGTAGAATAAAATTGGTTTTCTGGATCTGAATTTAGGGGTTTTTCTGGGGCCTTCTATGCTATTTATACTTCTCAAGGATAACCATCGAACTTCACTTCTAATCGTCGAAACGTTCCTCTATGATCGTTGATCATGGTGCCTTATAGTCAGCTCTACTACGCCAGTACTTGCAGTTGGGCTTCCCTCATGATTTTGAATTTAAATGTGAGTAACCGTTGAAGCCACATCACTTTGCATCTCTTTGCTGATCCAGTACTACGTAGATCTTATGAAAACCAATACTAACTGCCACGTGGACGATCACGATCGAAGGTTTGAATTGTCTTCCCGTATCACCCTCAACCTGCCACGTGTTGAATTGTAATTGGCTTATACAAAATATGTAGCCAACATTACCCCCCGCACTAATATACCCAATACTTGTGATATTAGTGGATCAAGGTCTTTTCTCCACGTTTTAGAACGTGCATGGGCTTTGCATTTTTAGAAACACAACTGTCATTCATTGATGAACGTTAGCATTAACTCCTCTTTGATCCCTTAAACAAGCTCACTATCTCAGTATTCGAAAAGTCAAATTCAATGGATAAACAGACATTTTCTTATCTCGATCAAGCATATGAAGAGTTGTTTGATAATACCGTTCGTCCTCGAAAGAATCTTCATGCATTGATTAGCCACCTTTACCCACCTTCCTATATTCAAGTCATGAAAGCTTTCGCAAATTATCAACCTTTGGATTATGAACACACTGTCCACAATCCTCTGATTTATAAATTTACAAATATGGACATGGGAAGTTCTTCTTCTAATCCACAATCTTCTGCATGAGATGAGGTTGTGGCTTCTTCTTCCTCTGGGGCTTCTGGTTGGAGAAGCTGGTCGGAACCTGAGGCATGTGAGTTAAGGGAGCGAGTTAATCATCACTTTGTCGAGTTCACTGATCCTCTAGAATCCCCTTCTGATGCTCGAAGTTCGGTGGTTTATCCTTATGTGCCTATCGACCGCCGACGCAGTTTAGAGGACAATCTGTTTGTAGCATGGTACACATCATCCGTGCCTACAAAGATAGTACAAGCTACCCGACGCCCAGAAGAGGCACAAGGGTATAACCCATCGTTCTTAGCTCAGAAGGTGAAGCTTTGCTCTTCTGACTGGCTTGATTGTGTTAATGCCCCTCGGTTTCCTCCTTCTTTCGAAATGAAAGCCTCAATACCTCCTCCTCCGCAAAATCCCTGCTGGACAGAGAGACTGAGGCTTACCCTCTCTGCGGACAAGGTTTTTCCTCCTT